AAACGAGGGGCTGTGACAAACTGTTTCGTCGGAGTTTCACCGACTCATCAGGAGGCTGAACCCTCGACAGTCTGCAGAATCCCCTCACTATATATATCGTCACAAACAGAACTGCCCGGTAAACCATAGGCAGAGAGAGAGAAGAGGACAACAAACGAGGGGCTGTGACAAACTGTTTCGTCGGAGTTTCACCGACTCATCACGAGGCTGAACCCTCAACAGTATATATATATATATATGGCGGAATGGAGTCTGTCTACCTCATCTAGCGAAGTCTCTCTCTAGAGGAGTGTCTCTCTCTCGTCAGACACTCGCAAAGCGATCCAGTGAGAACTCTGGTGCTACCGTGTTGGCGATTCTTCTCTGCTAGCGTGTTCCACGATCATCTCGTCGGCCAGTGAGCGTGTCCCCAATCCCCCAACCACTGTCCCATGAACCGCTTACATCCGCGGAGGTGCCTCGGCCCTACCGCACGGGAACCGCCCCACAAGAATTGTCGCACCCAGTCGCTGCACCACTCTGCAAATGTGCAAAATAAGACTAAATACATTTCCGCCTCTTTTGTCTTTTGTGGATGTGGAGAGTAGTGCAGCGAGGTCCCCAGTCACAGCGGAGTTTATAAGGCGCCGCCAAGCTGATTTTGCACGTGCGGATGTGGTGCAGGAGGCAGAACATGCCTGCAGGGCTCTGAACATTTTTATGATGTCGAAATTTCACAGCCCCGATATTTTATTCCACGTATTTAGTGCCGCTCAACGTCACACTGGCTAGGAAACCGAACCGATTCGCTGGCAGTGGGACTTGACCCCAGGAATGCATCTGCCCAGAATCATCGACAGTTTCGTTTTTTGTTTTTTTGTTTTTTTTCTTCTAAGTTAGTTTTAGTGCCCTGCCAACGAGGTAGGGCACTTTCCACGGACAGTTGACACTTGCAACCAATGGGGCACTCTCACATGTACTCAATATTATGTACCCAGCTTTGTTTACATCCAAAGAGTTGTTGCTGTTTTTTGCTTTTTTTTCCCCGTACAGCCGTGTTTGCTGAGGGCTGTAACGCCCGTTGGGAGCGCATATTCTCGCTTGTGCCCGATGTTCTGTATCCAGCTGCTTTCACGTCCAAAGAGTTGTTGCTTTTTTTTTTTTTTTTTTCCCTTTTTTTTTCCCTGTTGCCGTGTTTTGCTGAGGGCAGTAACGTCCTTTGGCAGACTCTCACGTATACCCAATGTTCTGTATACAGCTGCTTTGACGTCTCTAACGTCTTTGCTTTCTTCCTTTTCTTTGTTTTTTTTTTGTTTTTTCTTTCCGGCGTGTACCAGAAAAGAGAATACAATGGGGCCCAGGCTCGGCAAAACTCGGTGCTCAGTGAAATTCAGGGTCAGCAAAAACAGGCTCGGAGGTAGTGCTGGTTTAGTGAACCTATAATACAAACAATGAAATTATGAAACTATAATACTACGTAGCACCGTGTTCACGTTTGGAGGCGAATGCGAACAAACGCCCAGAAACACTCCGAACACGAACAAGCGCCCAAAACCCTCCGAACGCGAACAAGCGCCCAAAAGTCTCCGAACACGAACATAAAAAATATTTATAAAAAAAAAAACAAGTTCCAAAAAAATCTGAGAAAAATATATGTTACGTAAAATAACAATACAAGCAACTTCTGCCTCGGACATGTTCAAATTCGTAGCCAATCATGAGTTAAAAATCAAAAACCGAAAAACATATTATTTACTTTTTTCTTACGGGAAAAAAAATATGCTCCTCCGAACATGTTCACGAGCTGTTCACGTGAACGCGTGAACACTTCGTGCGAACGTGAAGGGGCACGAACACGTTCGCTGTGCTATGCAGCTATAATATAATAGATTTACAATATATACATTTATGAATACATTCATTGGAAGTTATATAATATATTGTAATTATATTGAACAAAACACTGAAAACAGCTTAATACTAGGTTATTCAGAAATAAATGTACAACTATATGTTATATTTGCTTGTGCATCAAGTTCTGATCCATAATAGAGTCCTGGGCTACGTAGAATTTGGTTAACTATAACTCTACAAGCTCCATTAATAATAAAATTCCCTCTGGCCGTCATTATTGGAATGTTGCCGATTAGTATTAGTTCACTTTATATATTTTTGCAGGTCCAGGCAAGTGGTTCTGGGCCCGTCTGGTAGCCTAATGTTTTTCTGATTCTTTTTTATCCCCTCACCTCAGACCAGTTACAGCATCCAGCAGCCTCTCCTCGACGGTGTAGATCTTGCCAACGGACTCCATCAACTTCCGGACACAATCTGCATCTTCTTTTGTCGCATGCTTTCCCAAGCTCATGGCTGTCCAAACAGAGAGAAAACGACCCAGATCGTTAATATATGAGTTCGGTGAAACACCAATTCTTTATTTTTTGGTTTTAAGGTGCAACACCTTTGCAGGTTCCATCCTTGGCCCCTAACCTTCTTTTTTTTTTTTTTTTTTTTGAACGTTTTTCATAATAAGCACCTGTGCTAGGAACATGAGCGAGAGCGATAGACAGATATCCAAATTGCAATCACGCTGTAGCCCAGATAGTCGTGTACCAAGCAGAAAGCACAATGCACCGAGTTAACAGCCAAATAAGCACAATACAGTGAACTCAAATGACAATGTCGCCACTCTGGCCTCACCAACATAGTATCCAATGTTGCTCTTCTCTATTGGCGCTCAGCGCCCTGCCTATCTACTCAGCACCTATACTAGCCTACACTACGTTTATGCAACCGGAATCACTTCGATGCCGACGACCAATGTACATGACGACGTCGCCAATGCAATGCAGACTGCCAGCGTACACCTGGTACGTGTCACTCTCTCCTCTCACATCACCCCTTGACTTCCCACAGTGTGCATCCCCGACACCCAAGGACCACCATCCCCGTCATCAGCCTCCGCCGCGCAAGCCTGGCTATGGCTGCTCAGCGCCCCACACCACAATGCGCCCGTGTGCACCTCTCCCAGCCAGCGCGCAGGGAACCTGCCAGCGCTACTAACCAGCAGTGTGGCCGCCCACTTCCATCCAGCCAGAATGTCTCTGGCTGCCGTGTTCACTTTCCTTTATGGAAACTGACCTCTGCTTTGTCGAGCTCTGGGCCTGGCTGGACGAGTTTCCAGTAGCTTCCAGTCGGGCTCCAGTCTCTGCACCCAGGCCTGGGCCCTTTGCACTTGGGCACGCCCAGGTAGCCCACGGGGCACGAGGCCACAAGTGTTCGCTGCAATCTCCTTGGCTCGTGGCAGGTGTGTGACATCGATACTGCATTCTCATTGGTCCGCGGCAGCTGTGTGATGTATCGGCCTCTGGCTGCACACACCCAGGGCCCCAACCGAATGTGCCCTGGGCTCAACTGCCCGTCGCTGCTGCTGTTTCCGGAAAGAGCCAGGGAAGGCTCACATTGCCCTGTAACCAACTGGCGTGACGCAACTGTCTGGTACCCCACATGTAGAAATGGCAAAAGTAGGCCTCATGCGAATACACAGGCCCGCCTTCACTTAGGGTGGGCACAAGGCTTGCTGGGGGCTTCGCTGGGGCCTAAGCCCAGAATGTGTGTGTCCCCTAATAGGGCCTCGCAAGGGCTCAATCCTCGCATTCACAAAGAGGCCACGTCGAAGATTCGGGCTGCATTATAGATCGAACAGCCCTGTAGCGTGATCACACTGGCCTGTACTCAGTCCTTCCCACATATTTGCAAGGCCGCCTTCGCTTAGGGCGGGCAAGGCCTTTTCCAGCACTGCCGAGGTACTACATTCCTCGCGACTGTGGGAGCCCTACGCAGCTTCACTTATGCTCTGTCTTGTATCTTCTACAGTTGGGGGTCTAGGCCCATGAGCTGCCCGGGCTAAAGTTACCAGTAAACTGGGACATGAACCGACACAGAAAGTTGCACTGACCCTGTGAGCTGCTCGGTCTAACATGACCAGTGGACTGACATGAACAAGATGTAGCAGTCTAATCAGATGCCCCGGACATCATTCACAATCCACTCAGGGAAACTACCGTCTTCCCCCGAACATAGCGCGTATGCGTTTCGGGTTTTTGGAAAGTTAGACCCTTTTCTTCGAATACAAGGGCACTTCGAATATAACGCATATGCTTTCTATTCGAATAATACGCATGTGCATTATATTTGAATTCCACGAAGAGAAAATTGTTGTATTCGACTATAACCTTTTTTTTCCCCCCCAAGGTCAACGCCTGCTCCATTCTTGCCCTGGTGAACGGGACAGGCCCGTGCAGGCCCGTAATCACAGATCACTGCCCGTGCTCTCTCTCTCTCTCTCTCTCTCTCTCTCTCTCTCTCTCTCTCTCTCTCCCCCCCCATGCGTGAAGGCGATTCTGACAGCCGAGAAAGTGGCGCTTGTGACAGCGAAGAATGTGGCGCGGCCAAGAAAGTGGAAAAATAAGAAAGCCACTCACCAAGGTCTCGCTGCACTGCCGTGGTCACCGAGACAAAAAAGAAAGGGGTTGTATTTGCCCGCGGTCTAGCGGAAGATTCATTCGCATTTTGCACATTTGCTGAGGAGTGGAGCAAGGGCCCAAGTACGGGAAAGGAATGAAACTGGACCCGACCCCCTTGTGCAGGCGAAGTTGGTCTCGATCACTCTAACATAACGCATCTGCGTTGTAAACGAATACAACGCACGGTATGCATTGTATTCGTTTACAACGCATATGCCTTATGTTCGGGGGAAGACGGTAGCCTGAAGTTCCTCTGAGAGGCGGCCAGCTGCATTGGCTGCCCTTCGCTCCAAGAACACAGTCCTCTCTGCTATGGTTTCGTCGGTCTCGTCCCCAGACGACAGGAGATCCTCAGCCAAGCCAGGCCCCTGGACGGGGGCCGAAGTCACGGGAAGACCCCGGTTTCTCTGGGATACACCCAGAGATTGGTGACTTCTTGTTCAGCTAAGCTACGGCATCCTCTTGCCGCGCATCATCCTTGCCACCATGCTCGTCCTTGTCACCATGCTCCTCTCCCCTCTCCAGGCTGACCTTGATCCGGTTGTGTCCGGTCTCGACCGTTGCTCCGGTTTGTTGGATGTGTGTGCTCTCGGCTGCTGTTCCGCTTTGTTATCTTGTCTCGGACCCCCTGGCATCAGCTGGTGTTGTCTCTCTGGTCGTCTGCTTTGCGGTGCTTGATGTAGGAGGCTTCCTGGCCCAGCATGGAGGGCTCCTTCTCACAGGCGGGCAAGTTGTTGGGAAAGGGGAGGGGTGGGGGTTGTGATGTAGGGGTGGGGTGACTGCCAGGGGAGGACGGGGGGGGTTGGGATATGGGGCCAGGTAAACCTTAGGTGCCTCCCGTCTATTGCTGCAATTTGGCCTGTCCCGAGGGTGCTACGAGCGAACTTATTATTGAGCTCCTGTTCCCTGTCGGGGAGATTTTTTATTTTCCATCTGAGTTGAGCCCAGTCCATGAGATATTCGAGCTCTAGGTCCTCCCGCAAATTGGTCCACGTGAGAGGGGACTGATGCCATGTTTGGGTAGTTGTTTTTGGCAACAACTTCGCCAGATGAGCCACAGGGTGTGGAGCCTTACCCGCTGAAACAGCTTGCGCTCCCAGGCTGCAAGCCCAGATGGAGGCGCAAGACCCGTGAACCCGGTCAAAGGTGCTGCTGGCAAGTGTTTCCCGGTGACCGTTTCCCAGCAAGCAGTCACTTCCGCCCAAAAGCGGGATGCGTTGCCGTGGAGCAGGAGCAGTCTGACGTCCACTACTTGGCCTGTGTCAGACCTCACAAAGCTCGTTCAGGGGACTCCTGTGGTGTAGACTGCACCGTTCGGTGAGCCACTGGTTAACTGGCAAGGCCAGCTAGAAAATCAACCACTGGAAGGACCCCAGACGGGGCTGCGAACGGAGAGGACAGTCCGCCAAGGCGCCCAAAGGGTGGGTGGGAGGGAGATCTGCAGCCGGGTTTCCCAGCGGTGATGCAGGGTTGCCAGGACATCCTGGTCCGGTCGCTGTGGGGGATAGCCCAGCCGTGTGGTATATTGGGTGATGTTCCAGGTCTGCTGTGCCGGCCGGATCGAATCCAGGTCGCGCAGGCTGTTGACGAGCTCAAAGATGTAAGGGTCCCCTGCATTTGGCATCTCAAACAATCGCACCTTCCACAACAGGTGTGGTCTCACAGTGACTTGGAATGCTCATGATCTGTTGATGGGTATCAGTGTGGCGCCGAGTTGTGAGATGCTGTACATGGTCATCATGTTCCATGTGCAGACAGGCCCTTCCGACGTGATCGATTTCAGGGCTTTCGAGGGGGTTGGCTCGGTCTCCCATGTGGCCCAATCTCCGGCCTGCCATCCTGGTGACTGGCGTAACAGTGCCAGCCAGTCTGAGGGGACCAAATTGACAAGGGCAGTGAGGTTCACCACGGTTGTGGCAACCTTTAAGCGCGGACCGCAGTTCCGCCGGAGTGCCCCAGCGATTGTGGGCTTTTTCCCAAATGTGGTTGATTTGCCAAATCCCTCTCTCCAACCATGTCCCCCATTGGGTGTGCAGGATGTGAGGGTCCAAGGGCAACCTTGGGCATCTGTGAGGGTCGTATTGCAGGACAGGGATTGCCCCAAAACCTCATCTCTTATGGTGGGCTGTCGGAGCTTAGTTGGGAAGATGTGTCGCCACGTGCTGATCAATTGGTCCCAGCTCCGTTCAGTCCTCGTGCGTAGCAACGCTGATTGACGGATCGGGCTGCGCATTGCCCAAGGCTTAGCCATGATCCAGAAAAGGCCTTGCATGTCAGGGGGCGATTTGTATTTGGGCAAATTTCGGATTCGCACGACCACGAGCGAGGTCCACAGCAAGTGGTGGTTGGTGAGGAGTTTGGTCTGCAGGGCCCTGATTTGCAACATGCGGTCTAGGACACCGAGGCCGCCCGCATAGTTGTCAAGGTTCCATGGAGGGGTTGATTGTCCAAGAGTGAGAGGTGGCCCTTGAACTGATGTCACGTGTTATTGCATCGAGCGGGGACCAAATGGGGGCTGCATATTTTTTTGTTAAACTTACAACAAGTCCAAGATCAACTCACTAGGAATCAAACCTATGACCTGCTACCAAAGAGGTGGATCACTTGATCAATAGGTAAAGTGAGCTGGGATGAAAGTGAATCCCCGTGAGATCAATTTCACCCCACCTTAGCATGGAAATTCATCCATGACCCTGTGAAGCACCAGCTTCTGTGCACGAATGAGCTCCTAAGCCCCTTCCTTTTTTTTAGTGTTTCCTATTTGACTGGGGTCAATCTAATTCAGTTACAGTTCCTCTACCCGGTCCAGGTTGCATTTTCGGTGGATGGTGATGTCGGTGGTTTAAGTTATGCGAGGCACAAGACCTCGATAAGCCCTACTAGGCCCCTATTTGCAACAGCGTCGGCCGCCCTAAGTGAAGGCAGGCTCGACAGACGACAGGAGGCCTAGTTTGGACTACTTCGCAATTGGGGGAAAATTCAGGCAGTTGCGCAGCACCAGCTGGTTGAAAGCGCCCAGGCCCTGGGTCTCCTTTTATCAAATGTATCTGAGTCAGGCCCTGGGCGAGATACGCAGCATAGGCCCAACTCAGGCTGTGGGCAGTTGGGCACGGGCAACCATCGGTGGCCCTGGGGCTGATTTGTTTGTTCTGAGGCTCAGCCTTCCTGGGCCCGGAAGCTTCTGGGCAGGGGGCCAGTGCAGCCAGGCTGCACGCACGCAGGCTGTCCACTTCCATATAGGAAAGGGCCAGCCCAGGCATATGGGATTCGGGCACTGGCTGCTTTGTGCGCAAGCGCTGCTGCGTTATTGCGAGCCAGGCTCACGGGCGAGCTGGAAGAAGCAGGCAGCCATAGCCGAGCTGCGCTGCTGTATGCTGGATGGGGCGCATGGTGGTCCTTGGGTGCATGTGGCATCTGTGAGTTCGGGAACGAGGTTGTGAGTGATACGAGAGACATACCTGGTGCTTGAAGCGTGCGGCATTGTCCGAGATCTGCTCGTACTTCGGGGAGCTGTTGACGTCATCAGCGGCATTGTAGTCTAGGCTAGATAGGATCTGTCATTCGTAGTCTGGGCGCCGAGCGCCAGATAGGATATCGACATTGGTTCTTCGTTGATGATGATGAGACTATTCCAGCATTGTCAATTATGAGCTTTTGCTGTGTTCTTATTTGGTGAAACTCGTGATGCAATTCTGCTATTGGTTCCAGGTCACGACTATCTGGTCTCATGTGTATGATGCTGTTTGATTTCTGAAGTTCGCTATCGCTCATCTTCCTTGCAGTTATATAAAGTTATGGACTTCAATTACTTAACTCAAAGTTCAAACTTCAAAGATAATCATACTTTAAACTTCTTTCAATTTTTTTTTCTCTGTTTCTTTAGTCTTGTGCCTGCTTTGCACTGTGTGCAACACTGCATATCTGCTAGTTGAATGTGCTTGTTGATTTGCTGCAAGACAGGTGCTCTGCTGCCTGAACTACAAAGTGCAGAGCAGGTAAGTGCCTGCCAACAGCCCCCTCCCCTCTCCCGGGTTTTTTTTCTCCCCCCGGACATTTTATACCCCCCGACACCCGTCCGGACTGTCCAGGTTCGGTGATGTCCGGGTGTCCGGGTGTCCGGTGATGTCCGGATCACCGGACAGTCCGAACCGGTCCAGACACCGGTCCGGAAGACAGTCTGGGAGTGTCAAGTGTTCAGGTCCGCGGTTACCATGGATTTTTTTGAATTTATTGTTTTTTTATGCTTTTTTGCTAGGACCTTCCCTGGTCCTTGCACGGCTGGCCGGCTGGGAAAATAGGGTGACACAGGCGGCTGGTAGCCTAGGTGTTTCCTCAATATTAAGTGCTATCAATTTCATTACGACTATTTTTAACACGCGTGGGGATTTGGGTGTTTTGAGAGGAACCCCTGAAACCCCTTTCTGACACTTCCTGAACGATTTTTTCACCAAATGCTTTCAAGAGGCTGTATGGCCCAACGTCCCCAAACTTGTGAAAATCCGTTTGCACGTGTGGTTTGGCGAGGCCCATAGTATGTTCAATCTACCGGCCACAAACACGGCAACATGCAGCATTCTATGATCAAGATTCTTTGCGGGGAAAAAAAAAAGAAAAAAAAGAGTTTCACCGGAGCGAAAGAAACTGCTGTGTTTAATGGGTGGGCCATACACACAACAAAGTATGTCTCATTGACTGGAGGAGCTGAACAAGACGATCTGTGGCATTGAAGGATTTCAATACAATGATGTGTGGAATTAAAGGAGGTGAACACGGCGATGTGCGGGCATTGGATGTAGGCTATAAGCTTTATAGTAGCACAAGGTACTGCTGTGTGCAAGGAATATGAGTGGGAACGATATACAGAAAGCCAAGTTGCAAAATCACACAGATGTCCAAGTAGTCGTGTACAAGCAGAGAGCACAAATGCACCGAGATTCCATCCAAATAAGAGCAATACAATGAAGTCGTGAGCCAATGTTCAAGCCCTCAGGCCACACCAACACAGTATCTAATGTCGCTCCTCTCTGTCTGGCGCCCAGCGCCCAGCCTACACACACTACTTGCCTATCCTACCTACATCCGCATTCCCGCAACAGGCTCACTTCAACTTTGAAGATCAATGTAGATGAAGTCAACACCATATCCGACCTCCCTCACGCATCAGGTACATATCTCCTCTCCCCTCATCAGAACCCTGACCACCCACACTCGCCTCCTTCCTGAAGACCACCGATCACCCTCTTACCCCCTAGGGCCCTGCAACCCGGCTATGGCTGCCCGCGCTCCGCTGCCCAGCAGTACCGCTCTCACCTCGCTAGTGCCCGCATGCGCCCTGGCCACCACCGCAGCACGCAGCCTATCGCGCAGCAACGCAGCAGCGCGACCGCATTGCCTGCGTGGGCCAGCCTGCCTGACCCTGGCTGCCTCCTTCCCTATATGGAAGTGGCAGCCTCTGTTTGACTGCGTGTAGCCTGGCTGGGAAGCTTCCAGTAGCTTCCGGTCAGGCCCAAGTGCCTGTGCCCAGGCCCAGCTATGCGGTTGAGGGCCTGGGCCCTTTACAGTTGGGCACGGCCAGTATTTCCAGACTTGGGCCGTTTGCTGCACTTGCACAGGACCCGGGGTATGTATGTCGACAATGTGCTTTTTCGTAGGCCCGTAGGCAATTTGTGATGTATCTGCCTTGCATTGTGTGTGTCTGTGCCCAGGCGCAACTGCCAACGCCTGGGCCCAACTGTACGACGCAGCATCAAGGAGGCTCACGCTTCCTCTCAACCAACTGGCGTGCTGCAACTGCCTGAGTACCCACAAATGGAAAATGTCAAATTTTGGCCTCTGGTGCATATTCAGGCCCGCCTTCACTTAGGCCGGCACGGGGCTTGCTGAGGGCCTCAGCCCAGAACATGTGCGTGTCTGATAAGGGCCCTGTGAGGGCTCATTCCTCCATGTGTTTACTTTTTTTTCTTTTTCCATTTTCTTTTTTCTTTTTTCTTTTTTCTTTTTTCTTTTTTCTATAAACCACCACTCCCCCCGCTGGCCTGAATTCAGGGGGACCGATAGCACAGTGGGAAGAACCAGGGGAGTGGCAAAATTGGAAAATGTGTCGAATTGCCGCTGCGATTTATCTCGTGGCCTAAACGAGTTTATCTACTTTTAAAAAAAAAAATCCTGGAAAGACTGCGACCAAATCTACAGACCCTTCATTTTTCAGATTTCTTGACACATTCTTTTGATCGAAAATCGCTGAAGTTGAGGTACTTCCCGTTGGCCCACACGTGGTAGAGCGGCAGAAATGGAAAATGAGATGAATCAGCGCAGCATTTATTTCACGGTCTAATTTTTTTTTATTTTTTTTTTCCTGACAAGACCACGACCAAATCCACAGGCACTCTTAATTTCAGATTCTCGAGTCATTCTTCTGAGAGCAAACAATCGTGGAAGTTGGGCTACTTTTCCTGTTGGCCCTCACGTGGTATAGTGGCAAAAATGGAAAATTTGAGGAATCGGCGTGGCATTATTTCATGGTCCAATTTTTTTATTTTTATTTTTTATGATATTTTTCCTTGAAAGATCACAATCTACCACAAGATCTCAATTTTTCAGATTTTTTCATTAATTCTTCTGATCGCGAAAATTCACCAAAGTTGGCGCTTGAAAATTGCGGGATTGGACCCGCCTGCACCTGCTGGGTCCAAGTCCCACTAGCAGCGTTGAGCTACCTCAACGCCTGAATCTGGACGTGTTTGTGGAGACGTGCAGTTCAGGAAACTCAACACCATTTCTACACATCTCCGCAGAAGCGTCCAGATTCAGGCGTTGAGGTAGCTCAACGCTGCTAGTGGGACTTGGCCCCTGGTCGTTGGCCCCCCTAAAAGCCCGCTCCGTAAGGCTAGGAAGGGCGACGGCGGGGGGAGTGGTAGTATTAAAAAAAAAAAAAAAAAAAGTTGTACAGTTGGCATTTCAGCTCAAGAGCGCAGGTACCAACCCGCCTCACCGCAGGGTTAACGGACATTGGTTATAAGTTATACAGTGGCACAAGAAACTGCTGTGTTTACTCTGCAGACCATCAAAAACGACCCGAAAAGAAAAAAAAAAAAAAAAGTGTCATTTGCTAGAAGGGTTGAATACGGCGATGTCTGGCGCTGACTATAACTTAGGGGTTGAAGTTCCGTTGAAAACAACAATGGACGTGTGGCGTTGACTGTAAGTTAAGTTTTACAATAGCAGACGACACTGCTGTGTTTACTGAGTTACTTTACTCTTGTGGGCAACGAACACGATAAAAACTGTGCCACGGACTGCTGGAGGAGTTCCTAAGACGTTGATGGACCACGGGGGTGCAAAGGGAGTGGAGCGTTGGAAAACATCACAAATTTCCATTCCACAATTTCCTTGGTAAAGGACGCTGCTTTGCCTTTCTCATTCATTCTGTCGTTCGTTTGGCAGAGAATCACAATTTGTAGCCAGGCAAAAAATGCAGCAAGAAAGGCAAGGACGCAGAGGAGGAGATAAGAGGAGGAGATGAAGGCAGGGAACAAAAAGCAGGACGAGAGTGGCGGGGCTGAGAGAAGCCGCGAGAATAAACCTGCAGCAGTTTCGCCAACAAGACAGGGTGTGTTGGGCATCACACGAATAACGCGGGATCCTTGTCCTACCCATTCCTGCGCTCATAGTAACATCAACAACCACACACACACACACACACACACACACACACACACACACACACACACACACAGAGGTTTGTGATGGCTCGTAGATGGAATGAGAGAGAGTTTGGGGTTTCTTGACAACACACACACACACACACACACACACACACACACACACACACACACACACACACACACACACACACACA